CTAAGTAACCGAAATAATACACCGAAACGAAATTTTGATTATTAGATAAAAAACATGTTTCAACCTCATCGAGTACGGTAGAAAAAGCATCACACAATCACTTTTTTTTTTTTTTTAAGTTTAATGGTCAGGAGTGTCTAAATTAACTTACGCGTACTTCAACTAATCCCCTCTCCGGTCCGATCCGGTCACTTTTAGTAGGATAAAAAATCACTAAGATAATTGGCAATATTGGTTCAAGTATCACATGAAGTAAAGCAAACCAAGACATTTTGACATGCTCAAGTTCAATTAGGGTAAGTATTTTGGCTGCCTTTCCTTGCGCAACAAAAGAAAGACGCTTGCTCGCTCAAGAAAATTCCTAGCAATCATCAATCAACCCGAACTGGATGGTTCGTACAGGTTGAGCAATGAACAAAGTATAAACCCGCAACATTAATCATAGATTTAATCACTACATGTAATTTGCAGACGATTGCATGCATCTAGGGTTTGTGTTGTCGATCCGAAAAGCATATCCCAACTTAAAATGGTAATAATTTTCCATACCAAGTTTTATTTTCTAAGATGCATGGAATGTTTTGTTGGTCATTAGCAGATCATCCATACGTTTTGCATGCATACGATCCATAGATATCAAAGCTTACTTTGTTCTGTTTTTTCCCCAAGTAATAGCCCAACACTAAGATCCATAGAAATGCTGCAATGAGGTGGTATAAGGTAAGAGCCAAACATGAGAAAATTAAGCCCATGCATGTGGGTATATGTTCAATCGGGCTAAGGATATGCCCAAAAATGTTATCCAACACAAATTTTTGTTTCCAAACATGAAATAAATGAAACCTCGGATTATATCTATCCGATCGTACCTCTTAATCTCCTGTTATTCCATGAACCTAACACTTTTCATATTGGTATGCTTCGGGGTTGAAATATGCGATATTTGCAATAATTTCATTTGTGTAAAAAATACAAAAAAAAAAAAAAAAAAAAGTAAATTTAAGAAGCTGCAGGTGGGCCGGCCCAATAGATAGGCCAACTAAACAATCGCCAAGGGCCTCAAAAAAAAAAAAAAAGGGAGGGCCCCAATTATGTCTCTAGTCTTCACTTATTATTTTAAACACAAAAAACTTAATCACCTGCGGCATCTTTTCAATGCTCAAATTACTAAAATATCAAATGTCGTAATATAATTAAAGTCTACAAATGAATCTCTCTATCTCACACACACACTAACTAGTCTATATTAAAAAAAAAATGTATACTTAGTTACTCATATCACTAAAAAAAAACTCTTTTATTTTCCATGATTTGTGTATACACATATAAACATTAATAAATTATTTTTTATATTTTTATAATATAATTATTTAATTCACTATTTTTTTTTTGTGAAGGTATAATTTATTAGACAATTTAAAAGATGAAAAAAGAATCAATTTATACAATCTCTATTTATCATGTATTATTGTTCTATTTTTATTAAACCTTCTCTTAGTTTTAACACTTTGTTTTACTTACAAGAATTTTGGGTTTTAAATATGTCAACTGTAAAAATAAGAATCCAAATATTAAAAGCATAAAACTTGAATAAGATATACTAACAAAATGTAAATATAAAAAATTAATCACTAATTTTACATCACAAAAAATGAGAATAACAAATTTTAAATGAAATTTAGTTGTATGTTAAAATTATATTTATAATAAATTTTTAAAGGGCCCCATTTATAGGACGGGCCGGCCCAGAGGTAGCCCATAAATCATGGCTTCTGTCTACCTCCGAAGTCTGAAGATATGGAGACTACACATCCATAACTCCACTAACAGCCCAAAATTATTCTGATGGAACAAGAAAGGTTACGGCTTATTCACTACAATGGAGAAGTCTGCGGTGCTTAAAAATTAAAATAATAATAATAATAATAATGGGGCATTATAAAATTTGTCATTTTTTTTTTTGACAATTTTTTAAAAATTATTTTTTTTTTAATGGTAACTTAGCCCAAAAATATTATAACTCAAACCTTAAAAAGTTATAACATGATTAAAAACAATTTTAAATCTTTAATTTTAAATAAACTCAAGATATTATATCAACACTTATAAAATTTAAAAATATGGTACTGAATTTTTTTTAATACGATACTCTTCTCCCAACGCAATTCAACAAGTTTTTATCCCACCAAATGTTTCTTGTGGACTGGCATAAAACTCTACTTCATCCAATCAACTCTCTCGAGGTCAAATCAAAATAGCCAAAAAAAAAAACAATTACATTAAAATAAAATAAAAGAGAATTTTAGTACTTGGATACTTACTTAGCTCACTGTTTGTCATTCACGTTGCTGCTGGTTTTGGCTACGCCTAGCTCACAGATTTTGAGTTCTTTATGTCAAAGGCATCCCCACCAAAACACACCATTGTGGCCAACGAAAATGGTGTTTTCTTCTCGAATTTGTAGCTATTCCAACATAAACTTCATTATGGACATACACTTTTTAATTATAGTTTCCTTTATGATATTGCTTATAACAGGTTTGAGTTTGATAATAATTCAGATGATTAACACACAATAAATACGTAAGACTTAATTGATTTCACGGGTTACAAACCATTAAAGACGCCGTTTTCNTAAATACGTAAGACTTAATTGATTTCACGGGTTACAAACCATTAAAGACGCCGTTTTCTTTGAGATTTTTTTTCTTTCAAAAGTCTAAATTAAGATCACGTGATAATAAACCTTGGAATCTTTTTTTTTTTTGTTTTTTTTGGTTCGGTAATCAGGAGTATTTAGATGAACTTACGCGTAGCTCGACTAATTTTCTCTTCAGTTTAATTAAAGACAAAAAATTAACTAAAATTTGAATTCAACACATATTGAAAACTTTTTACTCCCATTAGTTATCACGCCTATTCGTTCTCAACTGCTTAGAGAGGCAACTAGGGCTATCAAACCTTCATGGTAAAAAAATCAACAAAAATGTTATTTAACTTAATTTATTAATTTAATTTATCAGAAAATTAATTAAACTCTCAATAAATATTGGGATATATTATCACTCTAATAATTATGAAAAATTATATTAATAAATTAAATTAATAACTATATCCAATTCAATTGCTCAAAAATCAAAACAAATAAAAAAGGAACCGCCATAAATGAATCCTAAACAGTAAACAGAAGAAGAAGACAAAAACAATGACAACATATTAGAAAGATAAATGAAATGAAAATAAGAATTGAAGGCCATGGAGGGTACGTGGCAAGTAACAAGCACTAGGAGTTAGATCAATTGCTACGCTAGTCGTCCTTGTGTCTGCTCTTTCTCTATCCTATATGCTTCGTGGGAAGGGCCACCACTCCCCTTGTGCCATTCCACCCC